GATTTGCCGTGCCGAGTGCAATTTTTTCGAGTATTTGTGCCAAAGAGTCACCGAATAAGTGTAAAGGACAATATCATAAAACAAATATTAGTCCAAAATTCATAAGATATAGTTTCATTCATATGTCACAGATCTTCAGMGTATGTGCAAATGTACATAAATAATTTGTATTTAGTTATATGTTGAAAAACATTTTATTTTTAATGCAAATACCTTAGCTTATATTATTAAGCTTTAACTTGTACTGCATGCCGACCTTAGGTYTTCRAGTGGCATTAATTTGGTTATGCGCTGACCGCTGYGATGGTTATCAGACGCAACTCGAGCGACCTATGTGGTAGCCAGTAAACTTGAAAYCTTYGGGGTTGTAACTGCGTTTACTTGGTTGTCGCTTYGTTCTTACGGTTTTGTTATTTTCTTTTYGTACTTCATTGAATTTCAATAAACAAATTCTATCTACTCCGAGTTCTTGAGAGAAACMCAATAAAATAGTTTACCWTGTTCCAGCCRAGAAAATTGAGTAATAAGAAAAAGCKTATGGACGTGGAACACAAAATTATACGAGGAAATTGTTGTTTAAATTTCCTATGAGTAATTAACGTAACATATACGATGTAYGTTTGATACATCGTCAAGCAACTTSTACTTTAGTACGTACTAGCTCTAAATATAATTGTTATTMTATTGTACAAAAGTGATMTTCATGACTTCTCTGGTAAACTCAAATTAATTGGAATTCATTGCTTCCATTATTTCCAAACAAATTTGTATTTAAAACATATTCGCATTAAAATCCTCTCATATCACGGATTCCATTATACACTTTTTCCGCGCAGCAAATGTGTTTTTCAAATGAGCTCAACGCAACAAACTGAATGTGACAGCTCATCACAGTTCCTCCCGGCTTCTATAATTCGCTCAATTCAACGTGGGCTGAGTTTTATTTAATTAAATCATTCGTTTTTATTTCCCAAACTGTGGTTGGTATTTAAAAAAAAAATTGAATAGGATGTTAAAAAAGAGGTTTCATAAGTGTAGTTCATAATTGATAATATTCAGAATTTCTATTGATAATTTTCTCTGTAGTGAGCATATTATACATCAGGTGATGAATTTCAACAGTCTAGGGCTACATCGAACGAGTATTTGCAAGATATAATTTATAAGACCTGCGTCAGGCCAATGTCAACCTACGACGCCGAGACAAAAGCTGAAACGTCTGTTACCAAAAGGAAAATCGGAACAGCGGAGATAAAAATCCTAAAAACAATAACATGGATTACATTGCATGACAGAACATAAAGAAGGGTGTGGTTCTCTCGTGAAGTGAATATTGGTATTCTCGAACCCAATCGAGTGATCCTATGACGCAACGGCAGTAGAACAAGCTTCTATTGCCAAATCTCGAAGGAACGCATCGTTTACCGGTTTTACCACCAACCACACACTACACAGTTTTTCGCGTAGGTACCCGGTTTGAAAAGTGGTGTAATTTGGATTCGAACACGAGTACTGAATTTCTTAAATAAACTTGACTTTTTACAGTGTTTATAAAATAATGAGCAATTTAAGAGATTTCCTAACAGGGAGTAGAGCGCGCTTGTATGGACTTATTCTCAACAATCTTCAAGGAAAGTTTTTGTGTTTGGAATCATGTCTTGTAGTAGAAACTATTTTAGTATTACTGAATTTACTTGTAGATGCAAAGAAACAAAAAGAAAATCCTCATCATCCAATAACACTTACGGTAAAACCATATTTTTATAATGGGAACAGAGGTGGTGAATCGAGATAATATAGATCTGAAAAGAATATAGAAATAGTAATTGAGTAACCAGTTCAACAATAAATAGATTTAATTGATCATATATAAAGCTCGGATTAAAGGCAAATTGCCTTTTTTTGCCTATTTTGCTTATTTCAAACATTTATTGGACGTTTTGCCTTTTTCAGAAATTTGTGTC